TTTGAATGACATGGAAAATAATTAGAGCATTTGAGGCGAAGAAGAGCATGGTATGACTTAACTTTTAAAAGGATCAGTCTGACTATTGTATGCTGAGAAAAAAGTATGAAACATAAGGATTAAAGAAAAGTCCCATCCGGGAGGCTATCCCAATAATCCAGGCAGAGATAATGGAAGCTTGAATTAGCTTGGCAACAGTATATGTGGTGAGAAGTTCCCAGACTCTGGAGCTATTTTGAAGGTAGAATGAATAGAATTTGCTTCTAGTTTGAATGTGGGATGTGAAGGAAAGAGAGGATTCAAAGATGAAACTGTTGATTTGGGGCAAAGACTTTGGAAGGATGGAGATGGAGAAGACATGGGACAGAGCAGGATGGTGAAATTCAGCCATTTGTTTTAGTCATAGTAAGTTTGTGATGTCTGATATATGTCAAGGTGGAGATGTGAAGTGGACAATTGCACACAGGTCTGTGTCAAGGAGGGCTGGGCTGGACATATAAATCTCCCAGTCAGCAGCATAGGGTAGGTGTTTAAAGCTACAAGATGAGAGAATTAAATAGTGGGATATTCTGGTAATTAAAAGTTCAGAGGTGAGATCCCAATATACAAAATTCATATACACAGTTGAAGACAACGTTCATAATTATGTCAACTGGCATCAAATCAAAGAAACCAAAGATGAGCTAAAATGTAAAGTAAAACAAATTTCGATTACATGGCTGGATAATCTAACTTAGAAGATTCATATAATATCTGGATCAGATGATGACATTGCAAACAACATTTTGTGTTTCCAAATACTTAAAAACAGGCACAGTGAGTCATAAACAGAAAATTCTTCAGTTCAACCGATGCTTATTATTTTGGTGAGGATGCTGGTTAGCCTGATTTACTACTAATGTTGTAATTTAGAGATTATTGTACAAAGAAAAATGAGAAAAGTATGTACTTAATAATGTCTCTGGTTTTGCCTTTATAATTTGCATGATCACAAAATGTTATTGATGAATTTTGCCTAATAATAAACATATATATGTGTGTGTGTGTGTGTGTGTGTGTATACACACATATATATATATTTGTGTATAAATATATATATATTTGTGGCACTAGGTTAATTCTGGAATCTTTTTGTTTCACTTATAATTTTGTTGCTTCTTATCCAAGAATCGATTATGCTAACTCTACTGAAAGTTTTGACGTGACCTACTTCTTCAAAAGATGCAAAGCCCTTTATTGACTTCATAGGATCCTAAGTTGTCCTGTGTCTCATATTAATAAAGAGGGGAGGAGCTAGTAATAAGAAAGTCAGTTAAATCTAAATCATTAATAATTTACATCTTCTGCTCATAAAAGGTGTATTTTGACAGGTCAATTGTGTCATTATTCCACAAGGCATTTGACACATTGTCTTAGTAACAGGAAACTTTCCAGGAGTAATTGGCCTGAGAACTTTGGTGTAAATTATATTTAGTGGCCTAAAACTAATTTTAAAAGAAATCACGACTGTGTATCTTCTGCCAGGAGACTTGGAATAAATCTTAGAAGGCAACTGCTGTTCTTGAGAAGTGACTAAGCAGGAACTTTTGGATTCTGGTCATCTTCTGAGGGTAGCTGGAGATCTCCTGAGTCCTGTCACGAATCTCTCAGGCTTGCAAAACTCAAAGTCCTGTAGCCATTTATGAAAATCAATAACCAAGTACGATTGTTCTTTCAATATTGATTCATTTAGCTTGGTTGAGGAAAGAATTCATGGGCAGGAATCTTAGGTATGATGTCACCATCACATCTCTTCACTGGAAGGAGATCAGTTTGAGACTGTGGTCCAGACGTTCACCTCTCCTAAAGTGGAGCGGTACAAAGCTACTACCCAGTTTCTTTCCAAGCTCAGTGGTAGGAAACAGTCAGTCCAGCTGACTTTCTTAGAGAACCACGTCTACAAACATATCCCAACAATCTGTATCTAGACCAAGCTTAGCTTTTGGTAAAAGAAACAAAAGAATAGGTGCACCCATTCTTCATCCATTTTAACTACAGAGAGGCTGGGGTCAATGTTGGAATACTGTCCTTTAACACTCGTATTGATTTAGGGGGAGTGTCAGTCCACATGGTTTATAGAAATAATAATGATAAAAATCCCTGACCCCAACCGAGATTTTTCTCAGGTGTGTTTATCCTTTCTTGTTTCACTGCTACTTAACCCCAAACTTGTGATAAGAAGTAAGGATTATCTCATGTGAGGTTTCAGCTTACACTGATTTGTCTGCTGCATGAGGCATGCCGGGCATTAAATATATTGTTATTGTTTTGGCAGCATGATAATTTTTCACATTTTCTCAATAGTAACAGACAATGATGGATAGAAACAATGTGAAGAATCCATCAAATGTCTCAGAATGTCAAGGAAGGTTGGATTTAATCATTGCCAGGGATACATCCAGAGGAATTCTCATAACCTCAATGAGTAACCTAATTTCCCTTAAAAAGAAAGATCTCTGACATTAGAAAAACCTTCCTCATGGTTGGCATCTCAAAGAAGCTCCAATTTGCCTCCACCTTGGCCCCCTTCCACTTCTAAGGAAGTGGCTGAGATGGTGCAGTGAAGATCAAGGACAAATACTGGGCCATGTTTCCAAAAGAGCAATTTCTCTTTGGCACCATCATGGGATTTGTTTATTTTCACCTACAGGAAATTATACACTATGAAATTGCTGTGCTGATTCTATTTTTAAGTATATATATAGAAGAAGGAAATATATAATTATGAAAATATACTTCTGCCTTTGTCCCACCTGAAATCATCTTGCATAATGGAAAACAGATTTATAAAGTGTTAGTTTGACCATGTCCTCAGTGCATCAATCTCCTTTGCAAGATAGATGTGGATGGTCAAGTTCAGTTTTTTAGCCTCAAAGGGTTATTTTGCAACCATAAATGTCTTAGCTTTAAAGTGAGGATGTTGGGCCAGATAAACTCTAAAGTTCCTTCAGTCAGTGACATCTTTAGGTTTCTGTTTAGTTCAGTCTTAACTGAAAACAGATCAGCAGACCTGGCAGCACCTTGTACTGGTCTGAATACCGTTACATGCCTTCTCTTTAGCCTTCCTTCCCCCTAGGCTAGATGTTCCAGTTAGTACTTTCCTTTTTGACCTTCACATGCAGTATTTCCGCTTTTCCCAGTGACACCTTTCTGGCTGTAGTTGAGAGGGAAAGGTGAAGCTGGAGCTGACAGTGGGACTCGCACTGTGTAACTCACCCGGCAGAGAGCCACACGACACCCATGGATAAATGGCAGAGTTAGCAAGTAAAAATAGCCTGGAAGATGGAAAAACCCCCATAGTGTGAAGTCTCTGGATTTTTTTTTTCTAATTTAGTTTTTCTTTTTCTTATTATCTTTCTTTTTTCCCTGTATATCTATCTTCATGTTCCAAGATGTTGTGGGATGCTTAAGCAGTTATAAAATGTAAATTTTGAGTCCACAAGCAGACATCTTCTGATTTAATTAAAAAATCTGAAAGCTGGATCCTATCCATCCAGAATTTCTTATTAGCACAGTAAAACCCCCAGCGAGACCCTGGGAGCAGATCTGATAAAAGGTTAGGGGCTGTGAGATTATAGCGTTAGCCTGGACCAAATGAGGAGTCAACGTCACTTAGACTTTTGGAGTTAGGCCGGGCTAAGGGTGAGCCGGATAAACAGGAAAATCAAGTTCCTTGTAGTGTGTCATGCATTACTTAGCTAAGAAGTTGTTTTGTTAGAATGTGTCACATGTTTCCATCATCCTGTTTTCATATTGATCACACACAAAAATAAAAGCTGTAGAACTCAGACGTTTTCAGCATAAGAGAGAAAATGGTGACGTTACCATAACACTGGATCCTGTGGGTAGCTGGCCAAGTGTTAACACTTTGTGGAAGACTGTATTTTTCCATGAACCAGGCACATGGCATGCTGTTCTCCACAAGCTGTTACATTAGGCTGTATATCTTCAACCAGAAAAATGACTGCGGTCATTAGATCTGAGCAGGTAAGCACATCACCCTTCGACACACGTTCCAAAGATAGTTTGTGTTCAATGTGCTCACCTGAATTCACTTCTGCCCTTTGGGTCAGTCCCTACACACTGATCTCCTTGGTTACCACACCTTGCTGCATGTAAGGCTTTCCAGAAACTGTAAATCACTGTGACTTTTCAGCATTTAGGTAATTATAGAGTCTCCTATTAGGGGGAAATATTCACTTTAAAATCCTGCCCATCTGGATGCTGTTTCTGTATCAAATGTATGTAAGTCAAATGTATGTTTTCTCTTGAACCAAAATATATCCTCTTCTACATTGCTTTACTACAAAAGAATTTAAAAAGGAAGAAGTTACTTCCCACTTAATATTTACAGAGAGTTTATTTATTCATTTTTTAAAACAAATGTATATATATATATATGTTTAAAAATATATATGTACATTTGTTTTAAAAATATATATTTAATTCAGGCACTGTTCTAGGCCAGAATAAGCATTCCTTGCTTGTTGGCCTTCCATGTCAGTTGGGGACTCATGCCATTGTTAACTTGATGTTGTGAGTATTGCAATTACAATAATCTTCCTTTAGTTGTAAACACCATAACTTATGAGAATATTACTGGACACTGATTATTTAGAAAATAATTACCTACCATGCAGTATGCCATCATTTATAATCTCATAGTGTATGTGTGTGTGTGTGTGTGTGTGTGTGTCTGAGAGTGTTTAAAAAGATTTGAACTGTATAGCATATAGTGTGAATTATATTCATGAACTATGAATTTAGATGAGGATTTTATGCTGTCATTAAATACAGTAAATCCCAGCAATAAATTCATTTCAGAGGCATAGATGATGCAATATGTATGTTTATTTTAAGGGGCCTATACGAATTATATGAATGGTAGAATTAGGTGAAAAGAACATAACCTAGAAATAATGAGTGAAGTGGATTTAAGCCTCCAAGGATGCTGAAATAGAAATTTTGTCTATTTAGCTCTGAATTTATTGTAGGAAACCAAGAACTCACAGTTTGCACAGTTTTCATCCATAACTTCATTGGTATCACCGGGGAAGTCACTTACATATTTTATTATCCCAGGGGAAGACATTTATCAGATGATAAAGTTGCAATCAGGCACTACGTGATTTTTTTCAGATTTTAAAGAGATGGAAATAACTACCCGCCTAATTTTAAAAATGCTGTGCCTTTTTATTTCTTGGGGCATCTCACCTGAACTTTTAGACTATCAACATCCACTGAAGCTGATAATTCGGCAAATCTGCCCATATAAATTTGTGTTAAAAGCATCTCCTTTGAACTAAAATACCAACTGGAATAACATTTATTCATGAATTCTAGCACTGACTACTGATTCCTGCATAAACTTGGCTTGTGTGTAGTAAAAATGTGCAAAATACAACATTAGAGGACAGAAGGGGACTCCTAGCATTTATATGTACTTGGGTCAGTTATTTTTAAGGTGAAATATTTAAAGATCAGAGAGAAATCTTTTGGTGAAATGGCCAAGTCTGAGAATGCTTTCTTTTCTTATGTCCTCAATTGAGATGTAAACTCTTCTTTAACTGAGTAGAGGCAGGCGTATTCAATCCAGCGTGCTATAACCATTTAAATGTGGAATAGAACCTAATATTTATCTGAAGTGAGTTATATTAATATTACTAATTATTATATTAATGTGTTATATGCAGAATATGTAATTTGTAATTACTACTTCTAAAATCTGTGCTTTTGGAGAAGGATGATTATCAGAGTGAGTGCAATAGCTCTCTACGTGTGATCCCACATTGCAAAGAAAATAGGTTGATCAGATTCAGTGCTATTACAGGGGAGAGATCTGGTGGCTGTGATTATCATCCTGGCAGCACTCTTTGATGATTTGGATGGGAATGGCAGCAATAGTCAAATGAAAGGCTGGCAAAATTAAAATTGATGACCATGTTACCTATTATCCTGAAGCTCCTGCATTATGCTCAATGAAAGGAACCATGCAGTACAAATAGGAAAGCTACCATTTTTTGCTGATTTCTAATTATATCTCCCCCACCCCCAATCTGTTTCTATTTGAGCACCTTAACTTATTCTAGGAGAGAGAGAAACAGGTTTCATTAGGACTTAGGAGCTAACCTCAGGGATTTTTAAAATACAAAATGTAGTACAAATATGAAATAACCAATTTCACCACTATTTACTGAAGGGTCACAAGGCCCCTGGGCATATGAGATGTTGTGAAGGTTAGTGCAATAGAAGGGGAAAATAGAGTTTCTGCTCCAAGATGTCAAAATTGATTTTTTGGCTTTGATATGCCAGACACAGTGCTAGGCACTGTCAGGTTGGGAGCACACAGGAAATTAATTCTTGACTCAAGAACAGAAACACCATCTCAAATAATAGCATCTGTGGAAGGAACCATATTTTTTTTCATGTCCATAGCAAATAAATAGATGAATAGACAGTGCTCTTACAAGTTGTAATTGATGGGGTCATATGGTGAGAGGACTTGCTGGGAAGGAAGGGTAACTTTAGCTTGAGCGTCAAGGAGAAGTAAGCCTTGTGAAGACGTAGTGTTAAGGAAAATCGAAACTCAGTACCGAATCATTGTTTGATACTACAACTAAATCTCTTGCTCCAAAGACTGGTTTATAGAAGATTGTGGTGTTCTCTGTGCTGTTTAGTGAGATTTCTCTATAGGGCAGGGGTTCATGTTCTTGCTCTCCCCACAAACATACATAAATACATTAAAAATTTTCTTCTACTTTGATTCTTCATTTCTCTCTTCAGTCTGAGACTTTTTAGCTATCAAACATGGCCTCTTTGGCCGCCCCAACTCCCTTTCCTCTCAAGCCTTTATCAGCTGTGCATATTATTGAAGAATAACCTTATGTTTTCTGCCCGGAATGCCTCTTTTCGCTTTTCTGTCTGACAACCTCATCTTTCAAAGTTCAGCTCAAGCGGTCCTTGCTCTGTGCATGACTTCTCTGATTGACTCGTATGCAAGATGTTCCCCTCCCTCCAGCCTACCACGGCTCTTTGTAAACACTTATTACAGCTTGTACCATGATTTGTTGAAATTTCGTTTACATTTCTATTTCTCTACCTAGACTATAAGCTCTTTGAGAGTAGGCACCTTCTCACCAGCACCTGGTTTAGTGCATAATATGTAGTCAGTTCTTAATAAATACTAAATATTTACTGACTAAATTTCAGCATTCATTGAATTAAAAGAATCAATGGCTATAAGGACTGATTGATCTGTCCTGATTAATCTAGCTAGCTGAACTCCCTTAGAAGTAGGAATATTCATAAGAAATTGACATTACAGTTTCCAAGTGTGGAATCTGCTTAGAAAGTTGAGGAATAAAAGCAGCAAATCAATATGTGAGAAGCGGCAGAAAGCTAAGATTTCTTGATGCTTAAATGAATATAAACCTGAATCAGAAGAAAAATAATAAAATTAAAGAATAGGCCAGACCTTAGAAAACATTTAACCAAACTTCCAGAGGGAATGTAAATGAACTTTTCCATGGCCTTTCACAGGGTTATTGGCAGATTACCAAAAGCCAAGCCTCCTCTCAATCCTGTGCTGTTTTCTCTGTTCTTAATGCTGTGATGACTCCATTTCCAATGCTTATACAACCAGCAGAGAATGCAGATAAAGTGTTTCTCTTCTTTTTTTGCTCTCATGAATAATTTTCAGCAGCTCCCCCAATTGCTCTCTGTTACCCTGCTGAGTTTACCCTTGCAAAGGACATCTTGTCATATAGCAAAGAGAATCACCTGGTACCTTTCCAATATCCCTTCAGTCAATCAGTCAACAAGTTATTTATCGACCAGTTGCTGATGTGATCAACACAGGGCTAATATAATGGAGTTGGCTGCTGTTAAGCTCAATGCATCAATTAAATAGCACTTTGCATGATTTTGACTTGGCATACCTGGAAGGACAATATTTTTCAAGACCACTGTGAACTCAGTAATGGGAAGCTCACCCAGTAATTAATTTTACATGAAACTGTGCATTTTGGCCTGATCCCCAGTGTAGAGTTTAAGGCTATCAGATACACAGCATCCAGGACTGAATTCTGTCCTCAGATGTTAAAAGACCATGTCCATCTGCTGTTTATATCTTATGACTGAAACTATACAGAAAGCAACAGAATGAGAAAGACATTCTTTTCAATATATGATATTTTGAATGTTTCACTGCACCAAGAATTGGGGACCCGGAGTATGGTGGGAGTAAGAATGATGCTTAGGAGTTTGTGATAATTTTTGCTGATGCTTTGGAATCCAAAGACCTTACCTTCTGTGACTTAGGCTTCACCTGAAATATTAAGAGATGGATGAAATCTTTTTGGACAGGGAGTTGCCCTGTACTTCAGTCCATTAAGCCACATGGCTTAGGCACTGGGAGTTGCTATCCCAGGGGAGCTGGTTTGCTAGGGGGAAAGGGGGTTATAGAAATATAACCATATCAGAGGCCTGAACATATTTATATTAAAAAAATTGTGTTTACTTAAAATTCAAATGTAATTGAGCCTCTTATATTTTTATATGCTAAATCCTGCACTTGTAAATCAGGACCTTCTGCATGGCAGTTACTTTTGGGCCAAGAAGGAGCTCTGAATATCATTGCAAGACTGTGCATTCCATCCTGCGTAGCTATGTGAATTAGTCATGACTCATCTGACAATAGAGTTTAGCAAGGTTGGGCTCTTGGCTAATACTGGAATGGAAACTGCCTGCGAATAAGAGTTGAGGGATGGTATTGCGTACTGGGTCAAAAACATGAGTTTGGAGTCAGGTGGCATGAGTT